TAGCCACTGCTCCTGTCGTTTCTGTTATTATCCACAGTGACACTTTGTGGTCCACACCGTCCTTTGCTAGGGACAGCAATAGGTGCAAATTCCCAGTTTCCCTCAGCCTCCCTGAGCCAGGCAGTTGGTGGCAAGCCTGAGCAAAGTCTCCTGATCCAGTGTCCTCAGCTCAGGCTCTTCTGGCTGGATAAATGTCCTCTGCTTAGGAGGCTGATCCTGGGCCAGCGTGTCCCCACCTCCTGCAGGCAGTGCGCTGCCTGGCCCTTCCTGATGAAAGAGCACAGGGCACTATGTGGGCGCCTCCTTCGCTCCTGGTTTGCACTTGCATCGCACTGTCTGCTCACATCAGAAACTGCTGGGACCAGGGCGCTGGGGTCCCCTGTGCCTTCAGTGGGCAGTGGAGGTGTCTAGCTGCTGGCATGGCCTGCTGGAGGACGGGGGATCATGGGGCATTTGACCCATCTTTGCCAGTTGGAGATTGAGGTCAGCTGTTAGTAACTCACACAGACTGCTGTTGTTTTTCTTTTGAGGCAGTGTCTCACCACATAGCCAAAGCCTGCCTGGAATTCACAATCCTCTTGTCTTAGTCTCTCAAGTGCTGGGATTACAGGAGTGTCCTACCATCCCTGTTTTACAATGCTAAATTTTAGAATATAGCTCTTAGTACTTAAAAGTAGAACCTTAAAAGAACTTTTATGAAAAATTTATAATCGAGGCTGGGCACCGGTGGCTCACACTGTAATCCTAGCTACTTGGGAAGCTGAGAGCAGGAGGATCAGGGTTCAAGACCAGCCCAGGCAAACAGTTCACAAGAACCTATCTTGAAAATACCCAACAGAATAAGGGCTGGCAGAGTTGGTCAGGGGTGAAGGCCTTCCCTCCAAGCGTGAGACCCTGAGATCAAAACCCAGTACCAGCTGGGCACCGGAGGCTCACGCCTGTAATCCTAGCTACTCAGGAGGCAGAGATCAGGAGGATTGCAGTTCAAAGTCAGCCTGGGGAAATAGTTCGAGAGACCGTATCTCAGAAAAAAATCATCACAAAAAAGGGCTGGTGGAGTAGCTCAAGGTGCAGACCCTGAGTTCAAACCCTGGTACCGCCAAAAAAGAATTATAATTGATTCGAAAGCAGAGAGAACGGTCTAATTACCTCCGGTGTAACCACCACCCCCTTCGGCAACCGTAGACACATGGTTCATCTTAATTCATCATTTTGTTACGCGGCTTCCTTCCCTTGGGTTATTTTGAAACAAATTCATCCCTAAATTCAGTGCATATCTTTTTTTGGGGGGAGGGGGGTGGGTACTGGGGTTTGAACTCAGGGTCTTGGGCTTGCCAGGCAAGTGCTCTACCACTTGAGCGGCAGCCACCCCATTACCTCCGCCCTTCCTTTCTCTTTCCTTATTTTTCAAATAGCATCTGCATTTATTCCCCTGGCCGCCCTGGACCTTGACCTCCCTATTTCCACCTTCTGCATGGCTGGGATGACCGGCACGTCACCACTCCCAGTTTATTATTGGTTGGGATGAGTTCTCACAGCTGGCCTAAACCTCAGTCCTCCCTGTCTCCCCCTCCTCAGCAGCTGGGATTATAGATGTAAGCCACTGTGCCCGGCTCAGTGGGTATCTCTTATAGGTAGTTTTTGAACATATATATGATGTGTACCTTTTTTTTTAAAGAACTGATTTGCCTCGACTGGTTCCAAAAGGTCCACATACAGTTTTGGTAGAACCTCAATTTTATTCAAGGGGACAATGTGCCCTGCTTCCTGACTGTCCTGAAGCAAGGTGTGGTCATGTGACTCACTTTGGCCGATGTAAGAGGAAAGATGGAAGAGGCTTCCAGGAGGAGCTGTCAGCTAGGAGCTGAGTACCTTTGCCTCTTCCCTTCTTCCTGCTACCTGGAACTTGAGATATGATTTCTGGAGCTCCAGCAGCTTATCTTGGACCATGAGATGACCTTGCAAATGGCAGCCAAAGCTAGAATGACAGAATGGAAGACAGAAAGGGGACAGTATTACCCATTCCACTGTTATTTCCAGTCCTTTCATTTTATTTTTTTGCCGTTCTGTGGATCCAACTCAGGGCCTTGGGCAGTGTTAGGCAAGAGCTCAACCACTGAGCTACACCCGCACTCGTTTCCAGTCATTTTTATCTAATCATTTAAGGTTTGGGTCTAGCTGAAATAACAGAAAGCAAAACAAATTTTAAAGCAGTGGTTTACATGATCGAAACTATTCTTTGTATGTCACATAAATATGCCCACGGGTCAGGAGTCCCGGCAGGAGCAGTGGTGGCAAAAAGCCCTGTTCCGAGAATCTCTTGCTGCATCCTCAGGCACACCCCAAACGCCGAGCCCACCTGCAGCCCGGTCCACGCGTGGAGGGGCGGCCCCCAGAGCTGTCCCCGAAGCGGACACGCCTCTCTGCGTCCTGCCCCTCGGCGCCGGTCCCCGGAGCGCTCGGGTCCCCGCCACGTCTCTCTTCCCTGCGTCCTTGCCGGGTCCCCAGGATGCGCGATGTGGCCCCGAGCCACCATTCCGCTCCCTTCCCCGCCCCGGGCCCCGCGAGCCGCCTCCTCCAGGGAGCCTTCCTCTGAGGCCGGGCGGGGCGCGGCTCTGCCTCCTGTGCCTCCCCTCCCGAAAGGAGAGCTGGGGACGTGGCCCGGGGTGTGTGGGGGTGAGCTGTGTCCCCTCACCCCAGCCCGAGCACAGTGGTAGTGATGGGGGGGGGAGCTCTTCCCTCGCCGCCAGGGCGGGGCCGCGGGCCCAGCGCGAGCCCCGCGCGCCCCCTGGTGGCCGAGGCGGGCACTGAGCGAGCTCCGCGGGTGGCGGCTGGGGCGCTGTTGGCTTTGACTCTCCAGCCAGCGCGGCGGGGCAGGTGGCGCGCTCCGGTCCTGGGTCCAGGAGGGCACCCCCGGGGCACCCATGCTGTCCGGCGAGCCAGCGCCGGCCACCCCGAACCTTCTCTGCCTAGAGCTGGGTGCTGGGGTTCGTCTCCAGTCCCCCTTCGCTCACGTGATCTGCTGTCCTCGCTGGACGCTCCTGCTGCAGCCAGGGGCCGCGGCCTGCGCCGTTCAACAGGTGGGCGCCAGCGGCGGGTGGCATCGGTTCCTTCCTTCCCGCCCCTCCTCCCTTTATTTGTTTATTTATTTATTTATTTTTGCAGTACTGGGATTTGAACTCAGGGCTACACCTTGAGCCACTCCACCAGCCCCCTTTTTTGTGATGGGTTTTTCAAGATAGGGTCTTACGAACTATTTTTCCGGGCTGGCTTTGAACCCCAATCTTCCTGATCTCTGCCTCCTGAGCAGCAGGCGAGAGCCACCAGCACTGGCATTTTTTTCCTTTTATTCCTAATCTTTTTTTCTTTTTGTGGTTGGGAGAGACCACTGCATTTTTCATGGCTTATGATTCTAACTTAAATCTTAAAAGCAGCGGTGTACGTTTTGTTTTGGTAGGACTAACATATAAGTGTGACATTTACAAAAGTGCTTACAAGATCTTAGTCAAATTCTCCTTCTTCGTCATTATCCTTTAGACTTCCCTCTTTCTTAGGGTTTTTCTTTTTTTTGGGTGGGGGTGTGTGTGGAGGTGTCACTGGGGTTTGACTTAAGGGCCTCATATTTGCTAGGCAGGCGATTTTTACCACTTAAGCCACAACTCCAGCCATTTTTGTGGTAGTTTTTTCGAGATAGGGCTGGGAACTATTTGACTGAGCTGGCTTTGAACCATGATCCTCCTGATCTCTGCCTCCTGAGTAGCCAGGATTACAGGTGTGAGCCACCAGCACCGGGCTAGCGCACAGCTTAGAACACTTTCAACAGGTCTCATTGTTCCATTTTCATGTGAGTATATAGAACTTCCACCACATTAACCATGCTTCACCCTTTCCTTATCTATGTATCATCTTAAAGATTGAAAATTCAGAGTCCAAAAACCCCCAAACCAGAAAGTTCAGTGTCCAAATTGAGATGTGCGTTTGTGTGAAATACACACTGGATTTCAAAGAGTTAATACAAAAATAAGATGCAGAATAGCTCATTAACTTTTAAATATTAATTATATACTGAAATACTTTGGGCATGTTGAATTAAACCATTATTATTTTTCTTTGTTTTTTAAAAACTGTGACTCCTAGAACGTTTTTAGTTACTTATGTAGCTAGCATTTTATTTCTGTATTTCTCCTCTATCACTGCAGGCCCGAGGTTGGGGACACTGACCCCAATGGAAATGGGGATGCATGTGGGGACAAGTCCTGACCCTCAGATCTGGCCCACGCTCCTGGGAGCGACCCCTGTGTAGGTCAGCCAGGTGGCATCTGGCTGGGCCCCAGATAGGCAGCAGCTCCCAGGGACCAGGACCACAGGTGCCCACAGCCTGGGCTTAGTGCAGCCGGAGCTCTTAGAAAGATTCTTGCAGAGGCCCCACTGCCTGTGGAACCATGCCATTTGGGGCCTCATAAGCAGTTCATGACAACAGGGCCAAAGCCTGATCTCCTCACCAGAGTGCTTACAGGGGAGGTCCTCCTCAGCCAGGTTATCCATTGTGGGCAGGCATCTGGGCATTAAGACAGAACCCACACTTTGAAAGGCTCTTTTTGAAATCTGCAGAAGTACATCTTTTAAATACCCGTGAGCAGACTGTTGCAGGTTCACTGTAAGGCTGAAGAGAACCAAGCTGCAGCTACCTGAAGGAGTTGGAGCTGCATGCCCTGCGCTGGCTGGCTGAGGGGGGCAGGGACCCAGAAAGGCAAGCTGAGGGAGACTGGAGGCCAAACCACAGCTGCTGTAGGAAACACCTCTTCCAGTTCATTGTCAGTGATGGAGCACCCAGAGTTCAGGACTGTTCCTGCCACTGTGAACAGCTTGATACCAGGTCCTAGGAGCCCTAAACAGAGCTCTAAGGAACCCAGACCACAGAAGTGTCTAGTCTTTGTTCAAAAATTACAGATGGACACACACACACTCCAGAACCAGGAGAGAAGTGCTGTCGTTCGCCATCAAACATTAAATCCTTAAGGGGTCAGGAACCTTGCCCTACATGGAGCTGCAGAGCAGGCCTTGGCTAAAGGTGGGCTGTCCAGGTCTCCTTACCTATAAGGCTGCTCAGTCTGGTGACTTGAGGGGTTATGGGAATTTTAAAGTTCTTACCTGCCTTGGTTCTAGGCGGGGACTAGGACACACCAGGATCCAGTGACACAGCCACTCACTCCCTAGGGGAGGGCGGCCTTCAGAGACAGTGAGAAAAAGACAGGGAAGTATTGTGACATCCCTTTCCGGGGCAACATGCCTCAGGAACCCCAGATCCTTCTTCCCGGGAGGCAGCTGGGAATAAGGTGAGGGAGGGAGGGAGCACCAAAGCCCCATGGAATGTATGTGCCTCCTGGGGTAGGTTTAAGAGCCTGCTTGTTGTGAGATGAACAGAATGGGGTCATGTGACCCACACTCCTCTTCTTCCTCTTTAGACTGACAATGGGTGCTTCTGAGTGTTCAAAGTTCCTTGTGTCTAAAAACCTGTGAGGAACCTTGGTGTCCTGAGGGTCCCTGCAGTAACCTCTCCCCATGCTGTAGCACTGCTTCAGGCCCACATGGAGCTCGGATCCCAGGTGTCAGTCATGAGCAGGTACCTCAAATGTGCAACCAAGTGCCAGAGGATCACAGGAGATGGGGTCTCACAGCTGGTTAACAGAAGGGACTAGAACTCACAGCTCTAGCTGAGGGGTCAGTGAGGGCCACTTGTGATGAGCATTTCACTTCTGTGCACTGGAGGCAGCTACTGTGGCTTTAAGAGTATCCTTGCTCTGGGCGCCCAGGGGCACTTCCTAGGACACCTCACCTTCAGTCCCCTGGAAGGCAGGCAGGCAGACAGGAAGCTGGGCTCCTGGTGAATGTCTCAATGCAGGGAGGAGAAAACTCTGAGGAAATGAGTAAGGAGGAGAAAATGGGAAGAGAGGTGGGGGAAAGCATCCCAGACCAATTCCCTTTGTCTCAGGACTTTCTAACAAAAGCATCAGTGGACTTGGTCAGACCTACTGGGCAGCGTCGCCATCTGGCGGCCGTTGAGGGCATGTGCACTAGAAAGGAACCAGATGCTGGTCCTCAGCAGGAATGGGCTTCTCACCCCAGGCAGGGTGGAGGTCAGAGCATTCTCAAGTTGAGGTAGGTCAGTTCCAGCAGGAGGCTGCAATGCCTGTGAACCCCAGGCCATATGGACCACCTCACTCAGCAAGGCGGTAGTAGGCTGGGACTCTACAGAAGAGATGGTTTTGCAAGGCTCCACTGCAGAAACCTCCCGCCCAGGTTTTAGTGAACGGGCCTCTCCGTTATTACTAGCTGAGGGTGACACACTCCCTTCCCTACTGGTTTCAACCACCTGCCTTGTGAGAGGGGCTCAGGAGCCAGGTGAACAAAAGGGTTTTAAAGAATGGGGCTCTTATTGATCAAGGTCCAGCCATTTGCCAAGGTATATACACATTTTATTTAAAAAAGTTTACAGTTTTCATTATACACAACTATTAAGAGGTTATAGTCAGAAGAGGCATGTGTCCGGGTGACAGACGTGCCCAACTAGGTCATCACAATGCAAGGAAAAAGGTGGGAGGAGATAGGGCTAGGGAAAAAAAAGCGATAAAAAGCTTAGATTTCAATTAAGGGCTGGTAAGTCCCTTTTATTCTCTTCAAGTATCACACAATATGTACCAAATACAATCAGTAAATAATGGCCATTTCTTCCCAAGCCCACAGCCAAGACGAGGATCTGCTAAAACAGAGTCCTGCCCTTCCTCAGGTGAGGCTAACCCTGCTCCAGAGAGCCCTCGCTCCATCCAATCCCTTAATGGAGGGCCAAGGTGTTCAGTGGCCAGAGGAAATAGGAACATGGATTCAGAAACCCAAAGAAATTAAGTTTTTGCGCCCAATCAGAAATGACTTGATTTCACTCAGCAAGGCTATGAACCCAGTTAGGAAGCTAATGAAAACTCTTGCTTTCATAAATAGCTTTCATTTTTTTGAGTCATTAAAACATAGAAGGGCTGGCCACAAGCCAAACACCAGTTCCCACAAACTTGGGGTCTATGAACTTGATCCATGGAGGCTAGAAGAGGATCTGCCTGTCATGATTCTCAGCCATCCCAATTGGTGGCCCATTAAGATTTGAGCATCTGGCCAAGGCCAGGTAAGGCTCCAGGAAGCCCTTTGGAAGGCAAAATTCCTTTGAAGGGAGACACTTCTCAGGAGCCTAGATCAGCCAGTTGGCAATTAGAACAGCTTTTGAAGTGGACCAGTCATTAGTACTGGATAGATTTATGGCAACTTCTGATAATTTTCTCACTAGTATAAAATGCTGGTTGAAACTGCACAGTAATCTTGAGGGCAGTGAGACTGCAGGGAAAAAAAAAAAAAAAGCCAAAATGTCAGTCTAGGTTGGCTACCACTGATCACAGCACACTGGCCCCAGCACTGGGCCCTGGAGGGTTCACGAGAGCAGCAGATTTGGTGCTGCTGGGCTGCACCACCTCACTTGGTGTTTGGCAAGAGCTTGAGTTCAGTCATTTGGGGACAAAGGCAGCTTGCATTGGTAAGCCACAAGGTTGGACCTCAAAAACAATGGGTTCTAAAGGCAGAAAACTGCCAGCAGCAGCTCTAACCTGCTGACACCACCTCCAGAGTCAAGGATGCTTAGCTCCTCAGGGACTCTGGAGTCCTTTGAGAGCTGGGAAAGGAGACAGACCTTCAGACAACTAGGGAAGGCTTCTGGTGTCACAATAGCCCTGCTGCAGACTTAGTCTCCCATCTATTATAGTGGCCCAGAGTCACAGGCAGGCTGCCTTCTGGCTTCCCTGGGCCTACTATGAGTATGATCTCCTAGTCCCACCTCACCCAGGTGCAGGGAAAGGACATAAAGTAAGAGCAAAGTCAATTTCCCAGTAGAGAGGAAAAAGCCCCCAAACAGCCAGAAGGTGCATGGGACCAGGTTAGTGCCAAGAAAGGAGAGGGCACCATGTGACTGGGGAGTCAAAGGAGCATCAGTGCCAAGAAGCCACTCATGTCTTTGCAGCAACTGGGTGGACCCCACATGCTGCAGCCACACTCTGACCTGCGGCCCCCAGACTCAAGGGAACTCTGCACCATCAGTGCTGCTGCCAGAGCTCTGCCAGGGAGGCAGGCTGAGGTCTTTTCTGCAGCAAAGTGGATTCCCTGGGCAGATCTGTGGCACTGCCCACAGGCCTTCCTAAACTTGGTTCTCTAGGTTTCGATTTTGTTCAACAAGATCAAAAGCAATTTCCTGGACATCTTTTTGGAAAGGTAACTAGAACACTATTGTTTATACAATATTGAAAAAATACAATTTTTTATTGTTTGAACTCAAATCACCACCCAGCACTTTCAAGCCTACCCTAGTAGCACCTACAGTGAAGGTTACAGCACAGGTGGCACGGCAGGGAAGCAGGTGGACAGTGCTGGCAGAGACCCTCCCTCCCCAAAGCAATGAGAAGACAGTGCTGGGTAAAGCACACCATTCCATGTTAAATAGTTAATACCTCCCTTCCAACAAGCCACGCGTGCTAGAGAGAACGCAGTGCGGTTAACTAACTGCAGCCCTACAGAACTGTACTTACTCAAAAGAAAACCTTTGCTTCATGCCCGTAATTAACATAAAATAAGCAAATTCTTTGTCTTTTTATTTAGGAAAATAATCATGCTAAAAGCAAGTTGTACTTTATATAGATTTTCAAAGAAAAGATTGATTGTGCTTTTTGAATTAAAAAAAAAAAAAGGGTATCTTCCAACCTCATTGACTTACACCTTGTGGAATATAGTACTTCTAAACTAAAAACACACATCAAAAAGAAAAGTTATCCCAGTGGGACATTCAAAAGTTGTCTTTCGAAGGTTTCTGCTACTGTCCTGCTGGTTGCCGCAAAAAGCACACAGGGCTGCTAGTGTCTCCAAATTCCAGATTTAGCAGGCGACAATCAGATCTGAAAGCAGCTCTGCGCAACCTGGATGTGAGGTTGGCTGAGCAACACCGGACCAGCAGCAGGCATTTCAAAGTGTCTGACTCGTGCTTAACGCAGAGAGCAAGCGTCCTCCCTTTGCAACCCATCTCACAGCATCCTTTTCCGAATCCCTTCGTCCCAGTCCGTCACTCTCTGAAGCAAGCTGTGTTTTCCCAGGCTGAGCGACTTTGTGTACAACAACCTTTATTTGTTCCAATTATTATTCACTTTAAGTTTCGAATGTGTGTTGGGTCTGAAATACCCATTTCCCACTCCCACAAGCAGATGATGACCAGGCTGCCCCCACTGTAGGAGCACACCCAGGGCCTCGAGGCCCCAGCGGGTCTTCTTCCCACAACTACTGGTCCACTGAGGGCTTGTCCAGGGGAGAAAACCATCTCTTAGTAGGTGAAGATTAAATTTGTAGCCTAAGCACAATTCACACTAAACAGAAAACCAAAAAGAAACCCCAATCAAATGAAAAACCCTTCCAGTTTAAAGCTCTCAGTCCAGGGCAGTGGTCTCAAACTGGCCCAACACAGGAGAGGATGTGGCTGTGCATGGGGCTTGGATGAGGAATCATCTTCCTGTCACTTTTCTCCCTTCCTGTCTTTTCAAAAACAGGTCTGATGACAAGCTATACCCCAAGAAAAAAAAGAATCAGGTTCAGAGAACACTTCCCAATGGTTCTCCAAAGCAAAACACTGTGGCTGCAGGTCTAGTAGCAGGAAGGGCAGGAATCTACATATAAAAATGTGCTTAAAATCCAAGTCAAAAAATCGTTAAGTTTCACTTCTCCAGTTAGCTCCCTGTTTTCCACTGCTGCTCCACTCCACAGAAATGGGGTACCCAGGCCTCCCAGGGAGGAGCAGCTAATTGGTACATGGCTGGCTCTACGTGCTCCCAAAGCAGGCCTCTTACTCCCCACTGTTTTCCTTTCCACTCTGAAAAAGCACTATTCTATCTTCATTCAACAGCTGGTAGGTTTGGTTTGTTTCTTTGGAACCATCAATAAAAGCAGCAACTTTTTCCTGTAAGCTTTACCTGTGTCTATCTATCAGAGCGGCTATTTCTTTTGACAGTTCAGTAGCACACGGGCTGACTTGGCCAAATGGACTTATGAATGCATGCATTCGGACCGCATACTGCTACCGAAATGGAATGTGGGGTATGCTATGCACCTCAGGTTGAGAAATGACCAAGAAATCAAGATCTAAAGGGTGATATATAATACATATATATCAATGCTATTATTCATAAAAACCTTGTTTAGTAATAAAAAAAATTGCTTTGTTTAAATATGAATATTATAGTCTGCTTCTCATGGTTAGGAAATAATAGTCTTTCTGAAAAGCAGGTGCTTTTTCTACTACAACTCCATGTCCTGGGCTTCGTCTTCTGAAAAGTCAGACATAGAACTCTCCGATGAGCTGTCACCAGTGCCCTCTTCCTGCTCCTTCAGGGCCTCTTCTGTTGCGTATTTCTGGATATACTCTGTTCAGGGGATGGGGGGAAGAAAACACAAGGAGGTGAACAGGCAGACATGCTTCAGTGATTCTAAAGCTTCCAAGTCACAGGGAGGTTCAAACTCCCCTTCCATGTCAGGGTGACAAAGATGTCAGTTGATATGGGTCACTAAAGCTAATGAGGAACATCAGGGAATGGGAGCAGATGACTGGGCTGGGCAACAGAGTACCTGACTTTGAGGACAACCACATCATTGTCCTGAAACTCTGTATTCTTTTTTTTTTGTGTGTGGGGGGTACTGGGGCTTGAACTCAGGGCCTACAACCTTGAGCCACTCCACCAGCCCTTTTTTGTGAAGGTTTTTTTCAAGATAGGGTTTCATGGAACTATTTGCCCAGGCTGGCTTTGAACCATGATCCTCCTGATCTCTGCCTCCTGAGTAATTAGGAGTGAACATACAGGTGTGAGCCACTAGTGTCCAGCTGTCCTGTAACTCTGAACGGGTGGGAGAAATGGGCACCTCACCCCTTCTTTTTACTTTACATGTTAATAAATAAAATGATTTGCAAGCACCAGGTGTGGTGCTACACACCCATTATCCCAGCACTTGGGAGGCAAAGGCAGGAGGATTGGGAGTTCCAGGCCAGCCTGGGCTACATAGTGAGTCCCTGACTAGGAAGAAAAAAAAAAAAAAATCACTTCTGAGACAGAACAGGACTAGTTAAGGTTCCAGTAATTTATCAGAACATCTCTTATGGTTTTCAGATTTGCAGTGGCATAATTACAGCCAGCCCAGATTTCAGGAAGAGACTTTACTTTACATAGATCCTGCTTGTCAGGTTTTAAAAGCAGCAGTGAAAACCATCTCAAGTCTGCTCATCAGGAATGAGCTGCTCTCTGAAGACATGAGAGCCTCCAAGTGTTCATTATGTATTATTCACCTCAAGATTTATGCTGCTGTAGCCTAGGTTGAAAAGAATTTAAGGACTGCTGAATAAATAATAAAGTTGTTCCTAAAAGTGCATGCTGTTTTTAAAGGATTTGCCGATGCACACTATGGAGAGACACAGTAGAAATCCCATTAGGAATGCAAGTCGGATGCAGGCACACCCCCATGACTTTAGGCTCTGTCTTATCTTGGAGCTGCAGGGACTACAATTTGGAGAGAGGCAAATGGCCACATGGCCTGCCAGAACCAAGGAGTTAGCATGGGGGTTTAGCGATGAGTATTTTCCACATTTTCGTTACAAAGTTTGCAGACTTGAGACTTACAGCTCCTTAAATTCATTATAACCGAACTTCACACTGAGATTTAACTAGCTGTTATCTAGGTAAGAATTTACCTCTGAGAGTGAGAGAAAGCCTTAGGAATTCTGTTTTTTACTTCTAACAGTCTATTTTGCTTCTTCCTTCATAGAAGTTGCTGCACGTTGCCTTGTTTTTTTGACACTAGGATGTGATCAGCTTTCTTTAGTATATTCAAGGGAACAAAGTTTATGAAGCATTTAAAGACCAAGGCTTTTCATGAGACAAGGTCACTGACGAGGAAGAGAAAACACAAAGCAGGAACTGCTGAGTGCCATGGGGCCAGCAGAGGGGAAAGTAGTATAGAAGGAGTTGGCGGAGGGCCCAGAGAGGGCAGCTGCAGCCACACTGACCCCCAGCTCTGCCAGCTGCAGCACAGGACAGGCCATTCCAAGGGAAAGGCTTGGCCTCACAGAAAGTAAGTGGCTGGGATGTAAAAACACAGCACTAGGAGAGAATCCATTTGTTGTCTTTAAGAGAAACACCTGAAGCAAATGCAGCAGTGTGTGGTGGCTCTGGTGTGGGTGGTTGGTGGGGCACATGGTGGTTATGTCACTCTTATTTTTCTGTAGGCTTGAAACTTGCTATGACTAATGAAGCAAATATACGTGGATACATGAAACTCACCAACAGGACTGTCACAGAGTGGTGCATTTAGGAGTGAAGGAAAGATGAAGACTACATCAGAATTAGAGATCCCTGAATGGCAGGCTGATGCCACTCAGCAAAGGTTTGTGAGCAAGTGATGTATCAGCATTAGCTAGGGCTGGGCACAGTGGCTCACACCTCTAATCTCAGCTACTTGAGAGATGGAGATCAGGAAGACAGCCTCAGCAAAAAGTTAGTGAGACAACCCCCACTCCCCCGCGCCCCCAATATCAACAAATAAGCTGGGTGTTCATGCCTACAGTTCCAGCTGTGTGTGAGGCATAGCTAAGAGGATTACAGGTCCCAGGCAAAACTGTGAGATACATGAAAAATAGCTACAAAAGCAACTAAAACAAATCCAGCATTAACAAGATCTGAACTCTAAGGTTTAGGTAAGAGAGAGTACATATGCTTTCCTGTAAAGTGAGTGGGCTGAGTTTGTAGTGACTGCTGTACTACAGAAATGTCCAACAGGCTGCCTGCAAGAGGGGTCAGGCCTAGACGTGCACATTTAGAAATCATGCACCTGAAGCTTTGAGAAGTAAGTAAGCTCCCTATGGGGAGAGAGCTCAGCCTGAGTCAGTCAGTCATAAGCCCAAATTGTAAGAGAATGCTACATTTGAAAATTGGAATAGAAGTTTCTAGAAAGATAAGCAGTAAAATGCCAAAGCTGCAGAGAGGTCTAGGAAAATGACTCTTGAAAGGGGTCCACAGGATCAGGAAGAAATGAGATCACAGAGTCAAGAGAGGGGAACCAATAACTGCTGAGTTCAAGACAAGGAGGAAATGTGAAATGACACAGCCTGCCACCCGAGAGAGCCCACAGGAGCAGATCAAGGTTTCTGAAATGGGGTGACTCAGTGGGGGGATGATAGCACAGGATGGTAAGGAGAGTGAATCTGAGAAATGAGGCACCTATAATTTATATAAGGCACAGTAGGAAGTAGGGGAAGCTCAGGTCTAATGGGTATGATTTGCAGATTACCAAGACAGACAAAATGACGGCCAACATGAACACCTCAGGGCTGGGCTCCTTTAGCTAGAGCTAGCCATTGTACGATGAACACAGGCTGGGTTCCTTTTCTAACCGGGACAGAGCAGATACGCACTAAAGTTGGGTTAGTGGTCAACTGCTGAGGCATATGAATAAGAACTATAGAAACACACTCTGTACTGAGATACCTGTGATTTGTAGACGTGTTAAGTGATTCTATGTTGAAATTTTAATATAGCAGGCAGGTTGAAAGTGCCTGCCTTTTTCTCGGAGCACGTTTGTTTAGCTATGGAGATAATATGCTGCACAAATTAGACATTAACTTGCAAGGCACTTGAGTTAAGTAAATTAATTACAGTAGATTAATTTCTCCTTTATCTAAACAAAAGCAAAAAACATCCTAGAGACTCAGAGAGAACGAGGAAAAAAAAAAACTGAAGGAAAATGATTGTTTGATAAATAGCCCCGATGGCCCTGTTTGTCTTACACCTGCACAGTGAAGAGTGAAGGCCTACACAGACACCAAGCTCTCATCAAATACTTCTACTGCCATCTCCTGCAATGTACCTTAGAGAGGCCACACATTTTAAGGAAGCTGATCCTCTGGATTCTGTGCAGTTGTGGAAAGAAAAGAAAGAAAATAGAAAAGAAAAAAGGACAAGCTTTAGACACTCTTTCACAACTTTTTTTCCCTTTTAATGAAATTCCAGTTCCATGAGCATACAAGCTGTCCTAACTGAGGGAAAACAGGATTCTAAATCCCATGGAGAGCCAACTGGTGCTGCCTGCTCATACTTAAGAGGCTCTGGTGAGCATCACTTGCTGTTTCTTGGTAGGCCTGAGAAAAATGATGATGAACTAAGTAACTTAAGAAGTCTTTAATCTGACCAGTAGATCTGACTGCAGGGTAAAACTGTGCCTTCTTACCTTTAATTTTCTGCTTATATTCTTCTGGTCGGTGGAGGTACATGGCTGCAGCATCACCATTGAGAGGATCTATGGGGTTAGGATAGGCCAACAACTGGGGCAGGAAGGACTCAAATATATTGGTAAGATCTGAAAAAACAGACAAATACTTCAAGCATGGGAACATGCAGGTCATACAAAATTCATGTGAACTCAGCAATTCAACCTTACTTTCTCAGCTATTTAACTACATGGAGATGATTTTCCATAAATGTGTACTCCACTATGTGTGGCCTATATGATAGTCATTTCAATACCAATTAAGTTTTTAAAATTTAATTCTCATTTGAAGAACCAAATTAAGGTATGCCTAATATTCTCTTCGAAGGGTAATGTCTCAGGTTTTTTGTTGTTGTTGTTTTTTTAAGCAGTACAGGAGTTTGAACTCAGGGCATCACATTCGTCAGGCATGCAAGCATTTCACATCACTTAAGCCATGACCCCAGACCTTGTGCATTCTAGGCAAGCACTCTACCACTAAGCTACACTCCACTCCAATTTTCCCAATTCTAATTCACTCCATTTTCCAAATGCAGATTTTAGAAATACTACATGCTACTAATTGACATTTGTGCCCCAATATTCTTACAGCACCTATAACTTTCAAAATGCTTTTTAAAAAAAAAATCTGTAAACATTCATTTTTATAGTTGTTACTGTTGTTTGATGGTCTAGGGTTTGAGCTCAGGACCTCATGCTTGCTAGGTTGGTGTTCTATCATTGAGCCACTCTGTCAGCCTGAACAAAAATTTGTAAGAGTTGGTATCTCTTTTCTTTCAAGATGGGGTTTCACTGTGTAGCCCAGGCTGGCCTCAAACTTGCAGTCCTCCTGTCTCAGCCTCCAGTAGATTATAAGCATATGCACTTGTTAATTTCTAATGAAGGTAAATATAACCAATCGTTTCAATTATCATGGGTAATGAGGGCAAAAACCTATGTGGATCACTTAAAACCATAAATAATCATAAGACACAGAAGCACCAAACTACTGTATTTATTCTATTACCCTTTTTTGTGACAGTAGTAGGGTTTGAACTGGGGGTCTTGTGCTTGCTAAGCAGGTGCTTTACCACTTAAGCATGCTGCAGTTCTATTACATTTTAATAAACATTTATTAACCCCCCTTTTTTTTTATTGTTTTATTATTCATATGTGCATACAAGGCTTGGGTCATTTCTTCTCCCTGCCCTCACCCCCTCCCTTACCACCCACTCGCCCCTTCCCTCTCCCCCCCATCCCCTCAATTAACCCCCTTCTTGCACACACAGATGACATCTATGTATCCTACAAAACCCCTGCAGTTACATGGTACTTTACAAAGGAAAACACTTGGGCGTGACATAATCCACACTTGCCCACAACTTCAGAGATGCTGGCTTCCATTCTCTGCTCCTTGGCTTGTAAACAGTGAACCAGGAAACTTCAGTGCTTCCATTTCTCAGTCCCACTCCAGCTGTTCTGTCATGTTTTATGTAACCATTACTGTTTCTGGAGGAGATGCTAAAGTATAGTAAGTAGCATAGGAAACTATTCTCTTATTTTTACAGCGAATACCTATGCAATGCTACAGGTGAGTGGTTTCCCACTAAGTGACTTCTTAGCCAGGAGAGTCTGACAGGACATCTTTGGTTGCCGTAACTGGTGGTGCTACTGGCATCTAGTGGGCAGAGACCTAGGATGCTGTTAAGGCATCCTACAAAGCACAGGGCGGCCCCTCAGCAAAGAATTATGTGGGCCAAAATGTCAAGACTGCCGAGGCTGAGAAACCCTGATCTAGATAGGAAACTAGCTAAGCTTGTCATAAAGGATCAGAGTAAATACTTTAGCCTTTGTGGGCCACATACGGTCTCTATTCAGCAACTCAGCATAAAAGCTGCCAGAGGTAATAGCTAAACAAAAGGGTGTGGCTATGATCTAGTAACACCTTATATACAAAAACTGTTGACCAAAGTTTGCCCAACTCTGCTCTAGAAAACCCTCCACAAGGCTAGGTGCAGCTCAGTGGTACAGTACTTGCCTAGCATGTGCAAGGCCCTAGGTTTGATACCTAGAACGACAAAAACAAAACAAACAAAATAAGAAACCCTCCTCATAAGAGATGGCTCTTCTTGATCACTGTACTACTCAACAGAACTTTCTGCAATGGTAATTAAGATGGTCTCTATTCTCACTGTCCAGAGCAGTTGTCACTAGTCATATGTGGCTACTGACCCCCTGAAACACGGCTAGTGTGAATAGGAAATGAATTTTATCTGCCTAGGTCTACTCAACTTAAATTTCAGTAGCCACATGTGGCTAGAAGACCCTATACTGGGCGGTGCAGGTCTGGTGAATGTGCTGTCCCGCTCTCACGCACTCATGTGCGCCCTGAGCAGCTTTTCCTCTCCCGGCTATAGCCGTGGCAACTTCACCTTCCTAAGGCCGACCTTAGAAGATCCCAAAGAACCACATTATGGTAGGAGTCCCATGCAACAGGAAATAAAAATAATGAAATTCCCAACAAAAAGGCAAAACAAAGCCACCTTTCAAGGTAACCCCAAACTATCTTCACTGAGATTTTCATTGCCATTTTACTAGTAAAACAGATGTACATATTTAACAAGCTGATATTTACTGCACAGAACCATGGAAAAGTATCTGTAAAGACTAAAGAACAGAGAAAAGTACTTATGCTTGAATACTGGATAGAGAAAGGCCATAGAACAGTTTGTTTTCTAGAATTACATCCAGGTGTTGTACCTATGCATAAGAATATCATTTAGCTGGCCTCAGTGGATAATTCCTGGAATCCTAGCTACTTAGAAGGCTGAGACTGGAAGGACTGAGATTTGAGGCCAGTCCAGGAAAATAGTTGGAGACCCCCATCTCCAAAAATAATCAGAGCAAAATGAGAATATAGGTATGGCTCAAACAGTACAGCCACTGTCCTGCAAATGTGAAGCCCTGAGTCCAAACTCAGTCCTCCCAAATAAATAGACTATTTAAAAAAAGTTACAGCAAGACAAGAGGCTTGTAACTTCTACTTTTCACACATCAAAAAAACATGAGATGCATGAGTTCTTTTCATTTTTCAGTCCTTAGGTGGGTGAATTATTAGGGCAATAGTAGAAAATACTAAACAGCTTGGCACCAATGGCTAACACCTATAATCCTAGCTATTTGGGAGGCAGCGATCAGGAAGATAATAGAGGTTTGGGGCAATGAAAGCAAAAATACTGAACACAAAAAAGGGCTGGCAGAGTGGCTCAAGTGGTAGAGCACCTGCCTGGCCAAGTGTGAGGCCATGAGTTCAAATTCCAGTACCACACACGCACAGAAAAAGTCAAACAGTAAGCAAATGAAGAAAAATTTTCCAAATTGAATGTGACCTCAGAGCAGAGGAACAGTTAATAACAGTTGTTAACAGTAATAATAACAGCACCAGATTAACACTTACATGGCACTTACTAAAAGCCAAGGGTGTTTTCTGTTTTGTTTTTGAAATGGTCTTGGTGTGTAGCCCAGGCTGGCCTTGAATTCACTATCCTGCCTGACCTTCCAAGTGCTGGGACTGCAGTCATTTGCACATCTGGTGCCAGGTACTCTTGAGCACTTTTCACCTACATTTTAATTTTAATGAAGTCAGAAGTCATAATGTGGTTATCATCTCCATTTTACATGTAAAGAAACTGAGGCACACAGAGGCAGAAGTAACTTGCCCAAGAGGCTGGATTTCAAAACTGGGCTTACTGTCTATGCAGCTTCTGCTAATGCTTACAACAATCTCAACTTTCATGATGGGGCAAGTTTCCCGTATTTCCAGCAAAATTTTATACCTTCATGGGCTGGACAGCCAAAGGCATAACTCAGAAACTAGCCTGTCCCTGCCCCTTGCACAGTCTCACAAATGCAAGGCCAGCAGTACCAGCTCTACGTAGAGGATGGTCAGGCCTCTGGGGTGGGTACTTCGCAGAGGCAGTACACGCACAGAAGTGACCCACAGTGTTCAGATGCTTGAAATATAGTGAGCTGGGGGCGTCTCCTGTTACGCTTTTATTACAGGTGCTGCTCAAAAGGATTAGCTGCTGAATGTTTCTATCAAACAACGAAAACTTCTAAAAACAAAGTATAGCTTTTGTTCTCTTCAAGTAAAGTTCAGAAGTGCTTCAGGGCTAAAGAAATAGTGCAGATAACATATTACATAAGCAGAGGCTTCCTGTGCCCCAGGAAGAGATTTTATACCCTTTCCTACTACTTGTAAGCTTCCTAAAGCTACCAGTAAGTGGCTTTTGCCTACGTGTTTGTTCCGAACAAATAAAAGAACCCTCAATTACTGGTTCTTCCTTCCTATTTCTACCATCTTCCTGCATTAACACACTTTTCATCCACTTTTACAGATGTGCTGAGTCACACCTGTAAAACAGAAGGGTTGAAACAGAAAAGCCCACAGGAGTTTTGGGTAAAAATGATAGCTGCTGGAGGCCAGGAAATTCTGGCCCTGGCCACTTCAGAGTAGAGAGGCAGTCCTCAAAGTGGAGCACAGTGATGAGTGAGAGTTCTATCAAAACAGCATCTCTCACACATGCATATGTGTGGAGAATCTTTCCAGATAAAGATGTGAGGCTGGGCTGGTGGACTGGCTCAACTGTAAGAGCGCCTAGCAAGCATGAGGGTCTGACTTCAAACCCCAGTGCCCCTTCAAATGCAAATTAAGATGGGAGGCTGGGGAAATAATTCAGTGGTACAGTGCTTGCTTAGCATGTGCAATGCCCTGGGTATTGATCCCAGCACTGTAAAAACAAACAGACAAACATGTTGGCAGAAGAGACCCAAGCTACAAGCCAAGAATGAAGTACAGATTACACACCTTTGGAAAAATTAACCAAAATGAACCTTTTTTCTAGAATTATTTGAAAAGCATATTAAGTGAAAGACCTTTGAGGCCTCACATGCACGTTATACAGCTGTTGGTGTGCAAAGGCACAGCCAAGAAACATTAGCCCATGCATCCCATGACCCAAAGACCAAATAGGAAGAGAGTGCTATTTGCTTGTAGGTTCTTTGGCTCAAGAAAATGCTGGGGTTTGGAGCTGAGCTGCTGAAGAGGCTCT